GGTGTAGGGGTTTGGGGTTTGGGGTTAAGGGTTTAGGGTTTAGGGTTTAAGGATGTAGGGGGCCTTATTAATTGGTTAGAATAGGACTTTGGGGGAGGGGGGGGTTCCTTAGTATAACTGTATAGGGGCCTTATTAAATAGTTAGAATAGGACTTTTTGTTTTTTTTTTGTTTGGGGGGGGTCCTTAGTATAAGTGTATAGTATAATATACCCCCAAACCCTATTCTGATTATTAAGACGCCTTTATTAGACACTTCAGTCAAACAGAAGAATCGACGGGGTCTTTTGGTTGTCGTAAGCGCAGTGGCTGTGACATTGATGGACGGTCGCATTCATTAGGTTTTGCTGGCTGTTAGTGTTGATAGTGCTGTCCTTGTCGTCGTCGTTCTTGCCACTGTTGCAGACCGGAAATCGCTCACAGTATTCTGAACCACTTACACCCTGACATCCTTGCAAATCTGAGTGGCGCTGATGAAGGGCGTGAAGAGGTCGGTGGGGATCCCGAAACCTACGTGTTTCAGTCCCAGCGCAGACATCTCCGAAACCATCTTCTTGGGCTGCCTCAGCCTAAGTCGATCGACACACAGACCAGGGAGGCACTATGTCCGAATTGCTTTCCTGTTGAAAATTAAAGAAGCACGCGCACACGCAAGAACACACACACACACAAATAGATAAATTAATGTGTATATATATACACATGTTTAAGCTATGTGTGTGTAGGCAATCAAGAAGTAAGTGTGTACATGTATATGTTTAGGTATAGTGTAGATGCAAATGCAACTGTCAATGTAAATGTGCTTGTGTGTGTACGCGCAATGTACATGTACATGCGCATTGCTACATGTGCATGTGTGTGTGTGTGTCTCTGTCTCTGCACGTGTGTATGAATGTATGTATATGTATGTATGCATGTAACCATGCAGAATTAATTATATGCTTGATGCATTGAGGCATGGACGGACGGACGGACGGAGGGATTGGACGGACCCCGAAGCCGACGGCGATGGAAACCCTAAACAGACCAAGCAACATCTCCAAGGAAAAGAACAGCACTTTGTCCGCGATGAAGAGGAGACGGGTCAGAGATTGTTTGAAGTAGTTCTGGCCGACAGGCGCCACCTGGCCAGAACGAGAAAGCTTTTCAGTCGTTGTTGCGGAAGCAATCATACAATAAACTACTAAAGGCCGTCGCTTTATGCATCCCCTTTCACTTTGGCCAAATGATTGCCCCTTGTGAACTTTCTTCGTTGATGGTGCAAGTTACAAGCAAACATGGCATAATGGAAGATGTCGTAATGGTTAGTTAATTGTTGAAGTACCAAGGCCCGGGAACAAAGGATGCCATAGAGCCCACCGAAAAAAGACTAAAGTCTAAAGTGCTTGATCATAACCACGTCAGCAACTAATCAAACACAAAGTCTGGCCCGTCTGAATCCCACATCCAGCAACCTTGCACGCCCGTTTTGGACCCGACTGTTCTCCTATTACCAAACCCGAAACCACCAACCCTAAACCGCAAATTGCAAACCCCAGATTTTACTCTGCAAAGCCTCGAAAAAAGCCGTGAAGAATTCCTTCTTGATCTTCAAGAAGCGTCCGGCGGACATGGCGTCATAGACGCCGGACCTAGGTGCCCCCCGGACTGAACTCTTGAGGGTTACCGTGAACCCCGAAACTGTATAAGCAGACTTGAGGGGGTGAAGATCAAATTTCGCATGCCGAGTTTTGGGGTTTGGGGCTTCAGGGATTGGATATTTGGGGTTTCCGAAGATAAGGGGTACCTTACTTTGGGATCCTTATAATAAGGATCCTACTATTTTCCGGTACTTTACAGGGGTCCCCTATTTTCGGAAGCCCCCACTTAGGGCCGGAGGTTTCGGGCACACGGATGCCTGCTACTGCAGGGTCCTCTGCAGGTTTCGGCGGTATGGCACCTGCGGAGAGAGAGGGTTTGGGGTTTAGGTAAGTAGGGTTTAGGGTTTAGGGCCCGCAAGAGAAAACGTATTGCACCTGTCAGTCCATGCCCCTGAGCCCTTCAGGCACGAACATAACCCACTACCCCTAAAACCCGAGACCCAAGATGCGAGCCTCCCAGACCAAGAACGCTCCAACCCCCAACCAACCCGGAGGCAGCTGAAACACCTTCGAAGACGTAGCACTTGGTAGATTGGTAGACGCATGTACATATGCAATGGAGCACAGATCTAACAATGAAAACCACGAACCCCAGACCCAGACGTTCCATAAGTCCTCCGAGGGGCAAGGACGGCTCGTAGGCGGATGTCCGCTCAATATTCACATTCACGATCTTGACCTCAGCGCAAGGAATTTCCCAGGAATGCAGTGTAGTCCTGATGAACATTCAAGGCTTCCCCCTCCAGACGTTACGATTCGAAGCAAAGATCAAATCTCAGGAGTGTTCTGACAAGGCGCTCCGAAACCGTAAGCGCCCCCCCCCATCCTACAGGGTTTAGGGTTT